GCGACTCAATACTGATACGCTCCTAGGCCAAAAAAAGTACAAGAAACTGTCAAAGCTTTGTTGGCTGTGAATGCCTCGAAAACCGGCATAAATCTTTTTCCTGTGATCCAGGCAGAGATTGGGGGCAAACTCGAAAAGCAGATTTCGCTCCATAATCCATAAGCGGCATTGGATTCTGTATTCATTCTTTCTGTATTCAACCCTCTTCTCTTTGTTTCTCATATTTATCTGATAGTGAGCTCCTGTTTTCTACTTTATCACATTTTAATGTAGTTTTTGATACAGAAGACTGTTATAATTGGTAGAAAACAGGAGCTCACTATCAGATAAATATGAGAAACAAAGAGAAGAGGTTGAATACAGAAAGAAAAAACATAAAAGCTGGAGTTCGGTACAACTGTAGCGCTACAAGTCTGAACGCTGCCTAAGTGGACGTTTCCAAGTCGTAGATCTCCACAATAGATGGCGCATAACCAGAAACAACCGCAAACGACCTACGATTACGTAGTCTACATTGAGTCCGTCACTCCATCGACAAGTCAACCATTGGGAAAACGTCACGTCGCGCGCGACAAATCACGATTGTCTTGGCCGCCTTCCCACGAATTAACCGTTGCGGTGCCTAGCGCGACGAAGCGTGGTATCGGGTCTTTACAAAGTCGCACTCAATATGATCACTTCATGTTCGCAGCGGTGGCCGTTTACACGAAGACAAAAGCTGCACACTCTTCAAATGAAGTCTAGAATTTTACAGGTGGATAGGATCTGCCTTTTAGCTCGGAATTTTGAGGTACTGCGAAAGGTGTATGTAATTGCGGGATACTAGAATTCAGCCCTGGGTTACGAAGGTAATAGAACTCTGAGAATTCCAAGAGCTCTAATACTCATGTTTTTGACCTTCACGGTCACTGAGTCACGAACGTCATCAGTATTGCGTCGTCCTATTCGTTCCGGGGTAGTTTCTTCCTGTCCTTCGCCAAACGGCATAATATTCTTCATTAAGGCCATCATGGTATTCACTGCATTTCCAGATCGGCTTGATTTCAGTAGCAGTTTCTTGTCCTGAAACTATTGGTTGAAGAACAACTATAGCTCTCGAGAGTTACAATGTTACCTGATAGGCGACGAAAGCCAGTTCAAGAAGTGAAGCAAAAATGAAGGCAACACATGTGAACATCCAGATGTCGATCGCTTTAATGTAGGAAACAGGCGGCAGTGAGCGTATAATGTTACCAAACTGGAAAAGCAAGAAATGGTCGCTTCTTGAAGTTAGCAGGAAAAATGACTAAAATTACCTGAAAAGTGAGAGACATGAGTGAATTAACTCCAAGTACAATCCTTGCTGGTAAGGCTTTTGAGTCAATGCAAAAGGCAATCCATGAGATGAACACAGATATGTACGTGGGAAAATACATCTAAAAGTTACGACTAAAAAATTGAAAATAAAATGCGCTGCTGAAATATATAATATTTCAATATATATTTACACTCTGCAAAATGTGCTAAATAGAAAATTCGTGTGCAATGTTGCTTGACCTTAGAATGTAGTCCGAATAACTCACTGATCGGAACTGCTCACCTATTGGAATGAGGAGGCGTAAGGAATAGGAATCAGCGACCGCACGCTATGTCTGCAAGCATTTGAATTTTATGGAAAGTCTTCTAAATCTGAACGTTAACTCCCGCACTTTTTTATTGAAAACACGCTTGAAACGTATTTCTCACCTACTAGACAATACAAGGGAGGCCAAAAAAAGTGATTTTGCTTCCATGACTTTCAAATCGCTATAAGTTACACTTTTACACTTTATTATCTTTTTATCGAATATTTTAACTCACATTATTGAAGAGACGCCATCTAAATCACTATAACGATACTCCGCAAAAGCCTCTGAGGAGCGCCATCGAACAGATTACCGCGCGAAAGTGAGTGGAAGTGCCGGAGTCGAGCGAGATGCGTTGTTTCTCCGACACTTAGACGAACCACCCTGTTGACGCTCCGGCCACCATCTAGTAATTGAGGGGTTGTAGTTCAGACGCCCGGCTTCAAATACTAGAGTCTTTTTCAGTACTTCAGGTTCCTTAAATTCAATAGGCGAAAAGTTTCCAACGGCTTGATTAATGTGTTGTTACCCCAATCATGGTAGCAGTACAAAGTTTTCCCAAAAAGGTACGGCGACGTACGAGGATGGAAGTTTCCGCTCGAGTTGCCGATGTAGCACAGCGACACACAATCAGTCTGGGGCCCAGACGAGAAATATTCGGTTCATCCATTCTAGGTCATCGGCCGGTCCAACCACTCAAACGCCCTTGAGTGAATCGGCGTGAAGATGATGTCCTGGACTGTCGACAAACGTCAACCCAAATGTAACGTAACCTTTATGAACATTTTTTAGTGTTGATTCACGATTACGATCAGTCTAAAAGAAATGTTGCAGATACGCGTATTCCCATGCCGCAAAGATGTTATGTCTGATGACTACGCGTGTTACGATCATACTGTATAAACATCGAGTGTCGGCAGATATAAGGAAGGACGATCAAAGAAGAAAACATTTGCTGGCTCTCCTCTTTCGCTCATCTTGTACATATTCACTTATATATGCCTATTTATCTTTTACTTATTGTGTATTTAGTCATCATATCAGATAAAGGTTTAATTACCCAAGTTTGAGGTACGAGTGTTTGGGTGCCCGATCTATACCACCGATAGCTTGGTCTTCATGGTGCATCGAGACGACTACGGATCCAGGCTGCTGCAGTGAGTTCTTGAATGCAATTCACGATTCTGCTCACTTCTATTTGAGTTCTGATCATTCATCTAGCCACTACAACCGAAAAGTGGTCATTTCCTCTTTGACTTCATAGTGGGCCTTGGGATACCACCATTCAGGACTTAAGTTTCAATTTCATAGTCAGTTTCGCAATTTTCGGTTACTGTCATCTGAAACTTAAGCCTTCAACTTCACAATCAGTTTCGCAAATTTTGGTTACTGATTCCGTGAACCTAAATTAGAGTCTTGAGGATAATTCCGCTCTAAGATTATGGCAGCCCAAATATCGTCCTACAAACGCCTTATTACTTATTACACCAATAAATTAAGTACAGTTTTACAACGTTTCAAAGGAGAAGGAATCGAGTCTCTTCACGTTCAAGAAGATCAAACCCCCATCGAGTTTCAAAATAGTCGCAGGAACGTAGAAGAGGCTATAGGGGCAATACAGGCTTGCATTTCACGTATTAAGGGTCTACTAGGGGAGTATGCCACGTCATTAGACTCACTTAGAGAACCCAGTAAAAAGGAATACGATGACTATGACGAGTACGCAACGAAGGCAGAAGAACAACTATGCAGCGCGTTAGATTATTTAGTGCTGTTGGAAGCCCGGTCACGCGCCTTTTCCACGTGCAGTAACACAGTCCTAAACCCGGTCACTACTACATCAGAAAGTGAGTTGAATAACGCATTAAGGGCTAAGAAAATAGAACTCCCAACCCTACCTATCCCCACTTTCAAGGGAAACATATGGGAATGGGACAACTTTTGGTCACTCTTCGAGGCTAATATTCATTCCCAACCTCTGCCCGACCTCTACAAATTCAATTATCTGTTAAACGCTCTCAAAGGGGATGCTCTCGCAACTGTCAAGAAATTTCAAGTATCTTCCGAAAACTATGTCAAAGCTGTAGAATTCTTGATATCGAAATATGGGAATTCAGAAGAGTTGGTTAACCGCCTCATAGATAAGATAGACAAAATGCAATTACGATCATCGTCCTTGAAAGACCAACGCGCCTTTTTCGAGGAACTCCAGGTAATAGTCGCTCAGTTAAGGCAGAAAGGGGAGGATGTAAATAGCCAATGGCTCCTAAAGCAAGTTCTCTCAAAATTTCCTTTACCAGTTCAACGTAGCGTTTTACTGAAAAAACACGCGCTGCCCCACGAGTTTCGTTTTGATATAGACACCCTGCTGAGCTTCTTAGAAGAAGTTATTTCGAGTGAAGAAACAGTTTCGCTTTTCACAGGGAGAAATCAGGAAAACAGAAACCAGCAGCAGCGTAGTGAAAGAAAGGAGAACTTCACCTACAACGGTTGCATGTACTGCCGTGGGAACCATAAAGCGTCAGCTTGCGTCACCTATAAGACCCCGCAAGAAAGATCCCTCTATTTACGGCAAAATAAATTATGCCTGATTTGCGCTTCTCCCAGACATGCTACACTCGAGTGTAAGAAAAGGCCATGTTTTATATGCCAGGGAGCGCACCACACATCTTGCTGCTTCAAGAATCTCCCAGAACAGCGGCTCCCATCACAAACACAGAACCCTTTAGTTCCGGGTCGAACACCCTCACAAAAACCTCAAAAGGCTGGGACACCAAAAAACACCCAGAAGCCCAAACCCGTCACGAGGGTCAACCAAGTTCATACACATAATGATACAGGGGACAGTTCGTCGGAGGGAGACCCACAGTCTTTAACAGAGGTCGATCAGCCACTTGAGCGAGTTAGGGAAACAACGATCTGTGAACTCCAATCAGCGCAAACTAATCGGAAGTATGAAACCACGTTTCTGCCCACAGGCGAACTAACCGTATTTGATCCCACCTCCAGGAGTCTAAGAAAAATTGCGGTGCTGCTAGACACAGGGGCAGAGCTGTCTTTCATTGACAGTACACTTGCGGAAGAGCTAGGATTAACAACAATGAAGGAAACTAAATTAAGACTCCATACGTTTGGCTCAAACAATATTCAAGAAGAGCCAAGCCGCCTAGTTCAGTTAGACACCTGGGATGAAGACGGGCTACCACTTCGACTCAACCTATACACCCATAGGATTCTGACCAAATCATTGGTAGCTCCTCCGATCTTCAAAGAGGACATGGACTACATTCAATCGACTCGATCAAAGTGCCGATCGAAGCTTTCCAGCTTCGAGCTAAGAGAAATCCGCCATACGCAAGGTAAAACCACTCATACTGGTGGGATGTGATCAGCTTTGGTCGCTGATTAGAAAGGACCAGTCTCATATAGAACTACCTTCGGGACTCCATCTCCTACCGACACGAATAGGACAGCTAATAACGGGGCAACTCCAACCTTTACAGTCAACCTCTAACCCCTCCCAAATATTTACCATAGCGGATAATTGGAAAGACTGTTGGTCGCTTGACACCGAAGTCAATGTAGTATCTCGCCGCGAGGAGTCTATGGAAGAAGACGAATTGTGGGCGCATTACTGGGAACTTGACAAAGCAGGAACTGAGAAGTATTCGGAATCAGAGGAAAAGGTCAGAAAAATGTTGGATGAACAAGTCTGGGAACAGTTCACCGAGACAGTGGAAAAACGTGAGGATGGGTATTACGTGCGCTTGCCCTGGAAAGAAAACAACATAGCCCTACCAGATAATCGAGCGATCGCGTATCGGCGCCTAGTGAGCACATGCCACCAGTACAATGAGGTGTTCTGTGACCAACTGAAACAGAAGATTATTGAGGTAGTCGATGAAAATGAGCAAGTACCAGGAAAACGCGTTCATTACATACCGCACCAGGCAGTCCTAACTCCTCACAAGTCCACCACAAAATTAAGGATTGTGTTTGACGCTTCCGCCCACTATAAGAATTCATGTTCCTTAAACGATACGCTTTACAGGGGGCCCGTTATTCTTCCGAGCTTATACGGTCTACTACTGCGCTTTAGATTCGGCCAAATTGCAATGATTGCAGATGTGGAGAAGGCGTTCTTGCAGGTCCACCTCCAAGAAATAGACCGAGACGCAACGCGTTTCCTCTGGCTACAGGACCATAACGAACCCCCTTCCCCCGACAACCTCCGAGTCTACCGCTTCACACGGGTGACCTTTGGCCTTTTATCGTCTCCATTCCTTCTAGCAGCTACAATACACTTCCACTTGGACCAATCCCAGGGTAGCGAAATATTAATAAAGGGAATTAAAGAAAACCTCTATGTAGACAACCTCCTTTTGTCATCAGATACAATAGAAGACGCCCTAGAACAGTACTCAGGCACAAAGGAAATTTTCGATGACCTTCATATGAACCTTAGAGAATTTGTCTCTAATAGTAGCGATCTAATGGCTGCAATAAGAGACAAAGATAAATCAGCCGAACATTCCCCTAAGGTTCTCGGAATTCTATGGGACACGAGTGCGGATAACCTATGCATCTCTTGTAGAATTCCAACACGAACAGAAGTGACAAAACGGAGCGTCGCCAGCGCAATAGCTTCCATATACGATCCCATGGGTTGGATGGCTCCACTACTCCATAAAGCCAAGATTTTCCTACAGTCACTGTGGAAAGTTCCACGCGACTGGGATGCCCAATTGACAGAAGAAGAGACTGAAAAATGGAAGCAGATATGCAGCGAAATTAATGAGTTCCGTAAGCCA